AACGGGTTTGGGTTTTTTTTTTTTTTTTGGTTATACTGTATTCTATTTTAGTCTGAGATCCACTAGTAACGCTTTCTTGAAACTCACCAACGGTTTAGTTAACAACCGTTGAATCTAGGTAAAGGATGTAAAGATACTTATTGTAGTAGTCTTTTGAATTTTCTGTATGTTTGAAAATTTTCATAATATAAAGTTGGGGAAAAAACTAAAATGGAAGGTCAGTTATAAGAAAACCATACTGAGGTAAAAAAGTAAAACTTCAGAAACATTAGCAAAGAGCTGAATCTGCTGGAGTACTGTTTTAGTTTTTATAAAATAATTGTAGAATTGGATATCTCTGGATTCAGACCTGTGAGAAGACTGACATACTTGTCTGGCTCTCAGTCTGTGACTTCTGACAAATCACGTATACATATTATAGTTTCTCTCATTTTGTACAACTGTTATGAAAGGTATATAATAATATATGAAAATTAGTTACAAAATTATTATTTTAAATACTATATAAATGTGTTGACACTTTAGTCTGGCTTTTAGAGACTGTTCCATGACTTACATAAAAAAGACAAAGTAAGATTAAGAATATAATTTCAAATAAAAGGAACATTAAAGTGAATACATTATATATAGTGTGCAAAATAGGTTATCTAATTGTTACATGGCTCTTTCAAACACAAAACACATAAAAAGCTATATATTTTCTGGCTTTCCCCTAGAATGAGTAATCGTTAAAATTTCCCCCGAAAGTACCTCTAGGTTTCCTGACACAGCAAAATTAAAGCTAGGACAGAAGGTCCACCTGCTCAGAAAGTTCATAAAGGTTGTTGGTCTAAAGTGACACATTCTCAAAAATATGAAAACCACTTTATCATCTTCTTAGTTCAGACCACTCAGAAAAAAATGCTTTGTTTCCTTTATTGTCTCCTCTGTACCACTATTCAGCCTTGAATCTTTCCTTTACTGTTCTTTTAACTTGTCTTCCCCATGCTGTTTCACTGAGTACAATCTTCTGATTTCTTCCCATTCTTTACTTATTCCACCATCCTCCTCTTAACCTTGTATTTTTTCCATTTCCTGTGTCACTTGATAATCAGCCAAGATATTAGTGTGTAATTCCACAGCATTAAATCAACAGGACTTTAGATCAGATACTCCTATCCCACTTACGTACAACTATTGAGAAATTTATGTGGACCCCAAAAGGTGTTAATCCCAGTCTTCCCCACCCAGATGACATCAATTTCAATAAAATGAGTATCTGAATTTGAGGGAAACATTCACATGAACTATAGCCTATGAGACAGCTATTTTAATATTTTGCACTCCCCTAGTTGGTACCAACGAAACCCACATATTTATCTTTATCTGTTAAGAGCTGGAATTAAGGTCATTAAGTTGGAATTACTGACTTGACTGCCAAGGTTTTATGAACCAGAAATGCCTGGTTTCTTTGCTTCCAAATAAATGTAAATGGGTTTAAATGAAGGTGGCAAATTTTTATCCCTAAAACAAATTGTTCTCTTTTACAACCATAAACTCGGCAAACATCGACCTATTAAGTTACTGTCCCCACCAGGTTGGTATCTATTAGAAGTTTCCATCACCTAACTTTGTATGTTAGGTTAATCTCGGTTTTCAAAAAGTAGTCAAAGTCAAGCATTCAGCAGATAGCTAGCTAGGTTTATCTAGCCAAGTAAGATTATTTACATAGTATCGAATACCAGGTCAAGTGAAAGTGGACATTTAGTAGATATCTGCTAAGTACCTACCAATTAATAACTTACTTCTGAGATGACTATTGGAAATGTAATTGGTACCAATAAAGTTCCTTTTGCTCAGTATAAAACTGTTGCTGTTAGTTGCCATTGAGTCTGTTCCAACTCATGGCAACCTTAGGTGTAACCGAACAACAAAACGTTGCCCGGTTACGTACACTTCTTATTCTAAGTAAACCTGATCTACAGACATATTCAAGTAGAAAGTTAATTATGCTTGACTGTAAGCAATTTTTAGGTTGGCTGTATCATATGGTGCTGCTATGTTGCACTGCCTAGCTCTTACTCAACAGTGCAAATATGCAGGGAAAAAAAGGAGAGCTCCTCTGAGAGTTTTAAATGGGGAGCCAGGCTATCACCAAATTGAGTATGCATGGCCTTATGCCACACAAAAAAAAAAGACAGTAATTTAAGTTACTAATACATACAGCTTTTCCTTAGAAACATATCTAGATCTAAACAGAAAAGAATTTATTAAATAGATTTCATGTTATGGAAGTTTTATAGGAGGCTTGAATAGAATGTAACTCTTCTGTATGTCAAAGGATACCTGTATTTGGTTAACTGTTTTGAAAGGTGAGCATAGCACTCTATTCTTCCAGTACCAGTCTAGTATCTAAGAGTCCCAGGCCAAGGTAATGACAATGGCAATGTCTTTCATGAACAACAGAAATGGATAATCCAATAATCTAATGATATTTAAAAAAATAAGATATAAACCAAAAGGCAATTCCTAAACTCACAAATGTAGAGCATTTACAAAAGTATACCAAAAAAACAAAAAACAAACCAAAAACCTCAACCCGTTGCCATGGCATCAATTCCGACTCATAGCGACCCTGTAGGACAGAGTAGAACTGCCCCATAGGGTTTCCAAGGAGCAGCAGGTGGATTCTAACTGCCGACCTTTTGGTTAGCAGCCAAGCTCTTAACCACTGCACAACCAGGGCTCCTACAAAGGTAAAATGTATGATAAACACCTTATTAAAAAAACATAGAAAGCTGATACCATACTAAAGTTGGAGATGGTATCCATGCAATTAATTTTATAAAATATTTTTCTTAAATTACAAAAGTAATTTGTGCTCATTATTATTTTGGTGTATTTCCTCCAATCTCTTTTCTGTATGTGTGCGCACATGCATATATTTCAATCAAAATTGGGAAGGTATGGTATATACAATTTTGTATCCACTTTTTTTGACTTATGGAGTGCATATATTTCCCCTATCATTCTATGTTCTTCAAAAAGGTGATAGTCCACCTTCTGGGTATGCTCTTTCTTATCAATTATTTGTTTATTTTGGTATTATAACGTTTAAATGAACCTCCTATACAAGTCTTGGTCCACGACTCTGATTATTTCCTCAGACATTCCTGTCTTAGGAAATAATGGGGGCGGGGGGAGGGGGGAGCATGTCAAAGGGTAGGAACATTTTTAAGGCTCTTGAAAAGACTGCAAAGTTTCCCTCTAGAAAGGGTATATCACTTTCTGACCTCTAACCTATGATGTATGAGTGTCCCACCTCCCCATGCAGCTCTTGATCTTAGAACGAACCAGATTTTTATAGAGCTTAGTGAAAACAAGTAACAAGTCACATTTGTTACCATTCCTACTGGAGTTTGAAATATAAAAGTTTAAGGCAGTTAACATTAGTATGCATATCTATATTATCAATACATGTACTGCAACTATATGGTAATAAAAGTTATAGCGCAGGCATAAAACAGAAGTATCAGGTTTAAAAACATCTAGCTAAGCACTATAATTGAAAAAACTACGGCCCAAAAAAGATTGAGACTTGTCAATTGTGTATAGCAAACTAGGCACAGAACCTGCGTTTCCCAATTCTTAGACCTTAGCACGATCTGGAAAGTGGGTCAAGAATTTAGTATCCTCATCCATAAAATCAAATTTAATCAAGTACCAGTTTTATCTTTCAGTAAACGAGGATTTTTATAGTACTTACTTCATAGCGGTGTTGAGATTAAGAAATGTGTGACCATTTTGTAAACCGTTGGAACTATATAAATGTAAGGTGGTTTAATTATGTATGTGTACGATTACCGTGCACTGTAAATACACATTTAAAAACCTTAGAACATGAGTGTATTAACGAAGAAAAGTGATTTTAAGGAAAAGCAAAGTAAAACAAGTATTACGTAGGATAGCACATACAAAGCACTTTCATGAAAATGGACATATATGAACAAAACAGCTCTGGCAGAAGTAGGGCCAGGTACAGAGTGAAAGAACAGCCTGGTGTTATGGATGGACTACCAGGGAGGTTTAGTAAGTCAGCTGGGGTGAAAATGCAGTATTTTTAGGGAGCCTGAAGAAACCTATCTTCTCATTGTGCAAGAAAGCAGTATAACCAGTTAATCAACAGCTCCATCAAGTTCTACTAGTGGGAGTGCCTACGTAAATGAAATTCTGCTTTAAATGTATATTATGTAAACGTCTCTAAACTTCAGCTCCTTTCTACAAGACCTAGTAGCCTGACAATTCACCAGACTTAGGAGAAAGAAAATATAAAAATAAAAAAAAATGGTGCTGAAGCCTTTCTTCCTTTGAAGGGTAAACCATCACTGGATATAACCAAAACTAGTTGCTAGTCTAGTGGATTTCGACTCATAGTGACCCTACAGTACAGACCAGACCTGCCCCATGGGGTTTCCAAGGCTGTAACCTTTACAGAAGCAGACTGCCACATCTTTCTCCCTCAGAGCAGCTGGTAGGTTTGAACCGCGACCTTTCTCCATCAGTAGTCATGCACTTTAACCATGGTGCCACCAGGGCTCCTTATCTTTGGATATAGTACATGTCAAATGTATATTTCAGCTCACAGGTACCCCATGTGACAGAGTGGAACTGCCCCATAGAGTTTTCTAGGCTGTATCTTTACAGGAGCAGATAGCCAGGTCTTTTCTCCCTTGGAAGTACTCGGTGGGCTCGAACTTCTAACCTTTTGGGTAGCGGCCAAAAGTCTAACTGTTCGCCATCCGGACTCCTTACGTGTAATAAAAAACAAAGATTTTCCAAGTATGGATTCTATTTTTGAGTTTTGACAAAATATGAAAAGATCACCCACAAGACAAAGTGGGTGGGAATATATATTCTATACAGAGTTAGATTTTGAAAGGTTTTAGGCCTAAACAAAGGGGGTGTTCTTTTTTTTCTTTAATGGAAGGATGGCATTTATAGGAAAAAGCATTGTAGTTTACCTCTGTTCCCTGTAAGCAGGTGTATTCCGCAGGGTCACTATTTTCCAGGACAAGACAACCAGGTTTTTCTCACATTGTAACCGACAGTCAAACTAGAGTCCACCGTAAAGAAAGGAGAAAGAAAAGGGTATTACGCATTTATTTGCATAGGATCTGCAGTCTCGATCCTCAATTTTTCAATCGTCCCCCACAAATAAAGCCAGCCCGCTAACACCTGGCGAATGAGCCATGAGCTGTGGGCGAGGCTGGCGGTCTCTGTACAAGAGTCTCGTTTGGGCGCCCTCCCCCGGAGTAGGCAGGCCTCCCCGGACCAAGTGCGCGGCGGGAGGCGCTTGCTCTGCCCTCGGGTTCACGCTCGCCGTATCTTTTCTAGGCGATACCAAGGCGCCCGCAGTGGAGCTGGTCTGCTGGAGCACAGGCACACCGCGCCGGCCGCCGACGCCCGCCCCACGCTGCTTCCCCCACGCCCGCTGGTTCCCGCTGTGCTGAGGCGACCGGACCTCAGACTGCGCTTTCCGCCAGCCCCCCCGCCCACGCAGGTCCCCTGCCCGGCCAGGGCAATTCCCCACCCTCGCAGCAGAATCAAGGGGCCCCCAACTCCCGAGCCTCCCCAAAGAGGAGCCCAGCGGTGGGTACTTATCTCCGACCTCTAGCGACGCGGGACGAGCCCGCCTGGTGCCGTGCGGCCGCCGGTCCAAAAGCCGCTGGAACCGCCCAGGCGAGCGCCCCGCACGGCGACAAAATGGACTCGCGGAGCTGAGGCGGCCCCGCCCCGCCGCTCTCCCGCTCTGGCACCTCGGCTCTCCGCCTCCCAACCCTAGCTTCGTCTTTGTTCCGCCTCCCCAGTCTCGCCTCTCCCCTGGGAAGGGGTGGGTGAGGTGAGGCGGGAGTCCTTCCGGTGCCTCCAACCGCCGCCTCCCGCGCCGCCTCGCCCCTCCCACCCGCGGAAGGTGGGCGGTGCCGGGCTCCCCTTCGCTTCCCAGGGGTGCGCGCGGCCGCAAGGGGCGCTGAGGTTGCGCCGGTCGTGCCCGGAGTGGGGGTTGGATGCGCGCCTCCGGGAAGGTGGATGTTGCGAGATGAGTGGGCTCGGCCTAGAGGGAGCGCCGGCGACTGGAGGTGATCTGTCCCCATCGGAGCCACTCGGGAAAAACGTCTCCCAGAGTTTAAACGACGCGCAATAAGATAGTTGGGTTTGGATTGTTGTACTTTTTTTTTTGTTCGTTTAATTTTTAGGAACAAAAAAAAAAGCCCAACCCTTCACACCACTTCATCTGCATCTCTCAGGACCAGAAACCTGGCCACAGCGGCTTGGGGACAGAGGATTCGGTCCGCCCGCCTCCCCCGGCGCGGGAGCAGAGACGGGCTCCTCGCGCCGCGCCCCTGCGGGCTCAGCGACTTAGGTTCGAACCCGCGCTATGGCTGAGCCAAGGGCCGGGTGAAAGCGTAACCGAAATAAGGTTAACTATCATTCCACCCAGGGGAGACCTGAAGGCTCAGTGGTTAAGCGTTCAGCTGCCAACCGAAAGGGTTCGAACCCACTAGCCGCTCCCCGGGAGAAATAGGGTCACTATAAATCAGAATCCACTCGATGGCAATGGGGTGTCCTTGCACCCATTTTGAGGCTTTAGGCTGGACACTAACGACCCAATTCAAAACTTTTTTTAATAAAAAAGACCACCACGCTAACTGCTTTTTCCTTTGGAGGGAAGGAAGGACTTTAAAATTGACTTTAGTTATCCACAGCCAACCGTTAAGTCGTTGATCTGACTATTCTTGACGTCCAGCCCCCTGTATTGGAATCTTGTCTAATACCAAAGGCACTAAGCACTTATCAGGGAGCGGTCCTGGGAAGGATACAAAGATGGGTAATAAAGGAATGGCTCCTCTCCAAAGCTTTCAATCTTGGGGAAGTAAGGCAAGTCGAAAATCACGGAATATGCCTGGGGTTGAGTTCATCCCTAGTCGGGGAAATCTGGGCTTTGGAAGAGGAGTAGGGTTTGTAGAAAAGATATTAAAGGCCCACCACACATACTGCACGTGCTCCTTGACTGATAATGCTCAGCCCAAACCCTAAGAAAGCCCCTCCCCGCCCCCTCGGGGAAGCCTGGTGTCGCAGTGGTTAAGAGCTGGCTGCTAACCAAAAAAAGGTCGGCAGTTGGAATCCACCAGCCGCATCTTGGGAGAAAGATGTGGCAGGCGGCTTCGGTAAAGATTTACCGCCTTGGAAACCCTATGGGGCAGACCTATAGGGAAGCTTGAGTTGAAACAGACTCCACTGCAGTGGGTTTGGTTTGGTTTTTGGTTGTCTTCATGACAACCCTGTGGGACAGAAATTATGATCCACATCCTACAGATGAGGAAATGAATGAAATGACTTCTTTAAGGTAAAAAATAAAAAGAACAAGAGGCGGAGTGGACTCGTCAGATTCTAGGTGCATGTTCTTTCTGCAGCACCTTAACTGTCAGTGGCAATGAAAGCAACACCCCAGTCGCCTGTAAGTGTCATTAAAAAGAACTGATTTATAAAAATATTTTAAATACGATAATATTAAAATTATACAAGAATGAAAGCTAGGTTATTAACTCATAAACCACAAATTATCCTTAATATTATTATATAATACATTTTTATTTGGTTAGATCTGGTTGGCGGTAGATACTAATGAATAAACTACTGCCCAATTTAGTGTTAAACACTCAAGTTAAATCTGCAGTGGAATCCTTTGATTGTTAAACAAAATTCACTACAAAATAAACAACATAGTTTATTAAACCCTCTTAAGCCTAGAAAAATGGAAGGCAGAATAACCTCTCTCTCCTCCCATGGTCCTAACAAAACAGCAACTAGGGAACTGCAATATGTAGTGTGACTAGGACACTGAAGTAACTGCCAGATTAAAACTTACATACACAGCTACACCCTTCCTGGTAACTAGATCCTGCGAGAGGTAACACTGAGGGATTGTCAAGATTCTTGTCACGCTGCCATCGCCTTCTATTGGCCATTCTAATAGGTGCACGAAGGCTGACGCTATGACACACAGCAGCAAGACTACATATATGTATGTTATTTATATAGCTGTGGGGCCTGTGCACACTGCACTAAGCACTGGGCAAGGTGGCCAACCCCTACCTTTATCACTAACTGCACGGTGTGGATCACCATAAATCCAAATCTGGAAATCGACCCAGGCTTCACATTCCCACATCTCTATGATCCCTTTCGCCAACCACTTCTGTGGCAATTCCTCTCTGACCTTAACAACCCAGAACTAGGTCAGACTTCATCCCTGTCTACCCAGAACAAGGTCAAAACATCCCTGGCCACGTGGGGTCAGGGCATCGGGTACCAGCCACAGACGCAGGAGTCTGCACAACTCCCCAAACTTCAGACCAGCCAGCCTCTCTCTCTCTCTAACCCCCTGGGGTTAGGTCGCAAGCTGGAAGGACTCTATCCTTCTTCATTGACTGCCCATGCAGCCTTTCTCTGAATTAACTACTCTGATCTAAGAGTCTCATTGCCCCTGTGGGTTTGTTAATTCTCTATAATAACTCACAAAGTTCATGGAGACGAATATCTATACTTACGGTTACCCATTTGTTATAACCAGAAAGTGGATGCAAGCAGAGACACATCAGGCAAGGTCTGGGAAGGGTACAGCAGGAGACTTCCGCTGTTCCCAGGGACATGCCATGCTCTCCTGTGTGGATGTTACCACCACTCCAGGGTCGCTTAGTCAGTGGGGCCTAATGTATATGCATGATCAATGAATATGCATGATTGCCTGCATCATGCCCTCTCCCTTCCTGAGGTTTGCTGCCAGGGTGGGGCCTGGATAGCCTCTAAGACATTTACAGGAGTTTACATGTTGCCTGGCTATTTTAGAAAACAAAGGGCACCTCAATTGCTCGAGAATTCCAAGGGCTATTTTCAGAAAAGCCAGATAGGACAGAGTAGAACTGCCCAAGAGAGTTTCCACGGAGGGGCTGGTAGATTCAAACTGCTGACCGTTTGATTAACAGCTGAGCTCTTAACCACTGTGCCACGAGGGCTCTGTATTCTGAAACCAGAGACAAAAGGCCAAATCCAGTTTTTGTCCCACAGTAGTCTTATTGCAATTTAGAACAAACAAGCAAACAAACCGGTTGCAGTGTAGTCTGTTCCAAACCATGGCAACCATATGCGATATATACGGTTGTATTGCAGTAAGATTGTATACATGATTATATATATAGTCTCATTGCTGTGTTGATTTCACGGTGTTTTTGTCCTGAATCCGGACGAAGGTAAAAACTGCCCAGCTCCCCTCCCTACCTACCAAGACATAAGTGATTAGACTTTCCAAATCAAAAGGAACAATGCCAAATTTGGTGTACACTGAAATGTAAATTGTGAGACTGACACCCCTAAGCCTGGAAGAGTATGTGCAGGGGAGGGGTGGTAGTGGGCCTCCCCAGATACAGTGGAACATCTTGTTAGATAATAAATGCATAAAGCAACCAACATTGTGTTTGACTGTATAAAACAGTTGCCAAAGAGTTGATTCTGACTCATAGTGACCCCATGTGTGTTAGAGTAGAACTGTGCTCCATAGGGTTTTCAATAGCTGTGATCTTTTGCAAGTAGATCACCAGGCCTTACTTTCAAGATACCACTGAGTGGGTTTGAGCTGCCAACCTTTCTGTTAGTAGTCCAGCACACTTAACCATTTGCACCACCTAGGGACTCCTTTCTGATAACAGCAGTGTTAAAACTTTAAATGTGGAACCTTAGCGGGCAGTGAATTTATGTTAATGGAGAAGGAACATCTCAGAAAAGGAGGGTGAGAAAGGTTGCACAACTGAAGAATGTAATCAATGTCACTAAATGGTACATGTAGAGACTGTTGAATTGGTATATGTTTTGCTGTGTAGATTCTCAACAACAACGACAAAATAAATAAAATAAAACTTTAGATGTGGTCTGATTACAGCTTAAAATAGCTGAGGAAAACATACAGGTGGTCCTGTATTGAGGTAAATAGAACTCCATCTTAAGAATCTGAAATGATGTCAGTAATGAGATCCATGGAGTCCTGTGTGGTACAAATGCTTAGTGCACTTGGCTGCTAACCGAAAGGTTGGAGGTTCATGTTCACCCAGCTGTGCCTCAGAAGAAAGGTTTGGCAATCTACTTCCAAAAAATCAGCCATTGAAAACCCTATGGAGCACAGTTTTACTCTGACACACATGGAGTCGCCATGAGTTGGAATAGACTTGACGGAAACTGATAATGAGATCCATGAGAATGATTGATTACTTGTTGTTCTGAAATCTCAGACAGTCTCAAG